TTTTTAAAATCTGCTAGGGAAACGTTATTTTTCTCCTTCCTTCACTTTATTAAACACAACATTATTAGAAAATAGTTCAATAGCAGAAAAACAACATGCCATCACCTAAATTGTCTTATAAGGTGTATAGACAGAGACCCTAAGCTACACCTATCTGTGACCTAAAATGCTTGGTCCAAGTTAAACAGCTTAAAGAGCAAATCAACCCCTACCAGAGTCGAACTCCACTCCCACTTCATGTTTGAAAAATGCAACACATGCTGTTGCCTGGCAGACCGAGAGGGCGGAGCTGCTAACAAACACACACTCAGGCTCACGACAGCATTGTGACATCATAATGTACCAGTGTACATCATAGCATACTTCTTAGCCAATAGCGGTGGCAGATTTAAATTAAAATACAGTGCAGAGTTTTTACCTGACAACGGCACAACACTGCCAGTTTTAGGCAGAATATTTAAATTTTAACTAAGATGCAATGAAGTGCCAAATTATTGATGACACGTGTCTGCAGCACGATTAGACACTCGTTTATTTAGTTTATCAGCAAAAAAAAGTTTATTTGGGGGTGACTTGCTCTTTAAGGGCAATTCTCATCTGTTTTGTTTGATCTCATCTGTAGACATTTATTATAATTGGGGATGTCAAACAACTAATTTTTAAATGTAATTAAACATAGGCTGTGAATTAATCAAAATTAATCACTATTTCCAAAAATGACTGAAAAAATACCAAATAAAACAAAAGTAAATGAATGCCATCCTCCTTGCGATGATGCCCTGGGCAACTGCCATAAAGTCACATCAAGAAATGCTGCTGATCATTCCAATGATCCCAAATAGACTCACATTAGGCCACATGAAAGCAACTGAACCCAAAAATATATTAACCAGTATATAACTGCACTCTCACACAACACGCCTGCAGCAACAGTTAGGACTCCTCCCTCCCTTTTAAAAGCGTTTTCGCTTGCGAGGACATTGTGGTTGTAAAGCCACATGCTAGTAGTCTGGCCCCGGTGTGATCAACCAGTTTCTGCGGGAATGTGACGGCGGAACCGGTTCGCAGCGGCGCGAGTCCCCCCCCCCCCCCCCCGCCTATCTAATAGCGTCGCGCTTACGATTTTATAGGCTTTTTTTAACGAGCTTAGGGCATGTCTAGCCTGTGTAATAATCCGTGGCTTGGGTGAATCACTTTTGAAAAGTTTTTAACTTACCGGACACCGAGCTCTCTCCTTCCTCGCTGATGATTCTGACATGCTTGCCTTTAAGACGCTGCATCATCACCGTAGTAGTCCTGTGCCATGCTAAGTCTGACCTACAAACGTTGCAGGTAACGAATGTCTTCGCCTGATTTAACTGAAAATGCTCCCAAACTTTAGAAGTTTTTACTTTTTTGGGTCTCGCTGCTTCTGCCATGTTCCTCTTTCCAAACACCTGCCGGCTCTCTGGTCTGCGTGCAACGGCGGGCGGGAGGGGAGGGTGCTTTTGGAAGAGTTGTGCAACACAACGAATCGATGACGCAATTCGTTGCCAATGCTTTTAGTAATCGCTTTTCATCTAATTTATCGATTCGTTGTTGCAGCCCTAATTTAGTGTATTGGTGAACATACACCAGTGATGCCAAAACTCTCTATGCCTTATCCTGGAATATCTCATGCTAGAAGATCTCTTCTCAAAACCTGATGGCATGATGTGGAAGAGTCTGAGTAGCCATCCTGTTGCCATTTCTGCATCCACACGCCACCAAGGACTTGATAAGCTGCTGATGTGGTGGTAAACCGTCACAATTTCATTACAGAAGGTTTACGCAAGCGCAAAACAGTTATTGACTTATGGTGTCTTAGGAGTCAGCATGCTCTCCACACACATCTGAAGACCTTACCAAGACCAATGCATCATACACTGTCAAAAAAAATAGCCGTATATTTAAATACGTCATTCTACTGTAAAAAAATTTACGGACAAATTCCTTAAAGTTTACAACAGTAATATACTAAGATTTTTACATTTCTTCATTGAAAATAATACAGCTTTTTAGTGCTGGTAAGGAGTTTACTTCCTGTTTCCCAGCGTGCTTAGCGGCATTTAGGTGAGATCTGGCTGAACCGTCAGTCAGAGGGAAGTGTCTGTTCTTGACCTGAGTCATGGATGTTTGCGATGGCTGTGTTGCTGCTCAATACTGATGTCATTACCGACTCAATTCTTTTTACTGCTACAATTTTACATACAAGTGCAGTTGAAAGACAAGAACGGCAGTTAAGCAGGTAAAGCTGTTCCATGCTGTCGTTCTTTTCTTAAAACACAGAAACGGTTTTGTTACCTGTTTTGTCGCTACGTTTCGCCGGTGGCTGCAGGCTTCCTCAGGCTGACGCTGATGGTGACGCGCCACTTCCTTCTCCGTTTATCTGCGGGCAGCAGAGGACGTTGTCGCCCTCTACTGCCCGCTCTCCGACGATGCAGTCCCATGGGCGGTCCAACGTGTACACTCCGTCGTCCCTGTTTGTGGTCCCACATCCACGTCTCCTTATCTCGATTGTTTCTTTAATCCATCTTTTGAACATCAAAAATACAAAAGATGGATTAAAGAAGCAATCGAGATAAGGAGACGTGGATGTGGGACCACGAACAGGGACGATGGAGTTTACACGTTGGACCGCCCATGGGACTGCATCGTCGGAGAGGGGAGAGCGGGCAGTAGAGAGCGACAACGTCCTCTGCTGCCCGCGGATTAAAGGAGAAGGAAGTGACGCGCCACCATCAGCGTCAGCCTGAGGAAGCCTGCAGGCGCCGGCGAAACGTATCGACAAAACAGGCAACGAAACCATTTCTGTGTTTTAAGAAAAGAACGGCAGCATGGAATTAGAACTAATACACAGCAAGAACACACCTAAGAGGTAAAGCTATTATAATTGGTTATGACCTTAATGACAGTTAATCAGTTATTTCATTCTATGAATTATTGTATATAACGTGGAATACCCTTTGAAATTTTATTTATAGTGGGAAAAATTCTGTTTTTAGTGGCAGAAAATTTATTTTAATAGAATTTTTAATGTTAACTTTATGGAAAAACTATATATTTTTTTTTGTTTTTTAAGCAAAACATTTTTTTCTGCAGTAAAATACTGACTACAGTAACATTTTTAACTGTAAAAACAACACTAAAAATACCTTTTTTACTAGGAGTGTGACAATATCCAAATCTCACGATACAATAACGTCATGATATGAACGTCACGATGTGATATTTATTGCGATATTATGGGGATGCTCACGATAATAAGGCTCACATCACATGTTTTGGTAGATTTGTCATTAACTTTATGACATTTTGAACAGCCTAAAAAGTCGTTGCTTTCAGGATTCAGGATCATGGTCTACGTAGCTTAAAATAGAAAGAAAGAAAAGGAAATAAAACTGTCTTTATATAGCGCCTCTCAAAATAAAAATCACGAGGTGCTTCACAAAAACTAAAAATGTATAATATAAAAAGATTTTAAAAATAATTTAAATGTGACAGAGTGAGCATCCTGTCACTGTGTCCTGATTGATCATTCGTCCTGGCTCCTTGGCCACAGGGATGTTCCTTTGGCTGACTGGTTAGTGTGCGTGACTCTCACCTGGGAATCTGGGGATCAAATCTTGTTTCTCCACCTTGCCACATAAAATTATGCTTAAAAAGATTTAAAAAATATATTAAATTTGTGATTAAAAAATGTAAGGTTAGAGAGAGAGAAAATAAATAGGAAAGAGGGAAATCAGTGGAACTTGGGAAATGTGGAATAGGTAGAACAAACAGAATACGGAGAGGGTGGTGATGAAGGTCTTGCCAAAACCAGCTTGAAAAGGTGAGTTTTCAGCTGCTTTTTAAAGGAGACCACTGAGTCCACTGATTTCAGGCTCAGGGGGAGAGAGGTCCAGAGTCTGGGGGCCACAGCAGCAGATGATCTATCACCTTTGTCCTTTAGCCTGGTGCTGCACAACCAGTAGGCTTTGATCACTGGACCTCAGGGACCTGCTGGGGGTGTAGGGACTAAGAAGATCACCAATGTAAGATGGTGCTTGTCCATGTAAGGCCCTAAAGACCAGAACCAGGATCTTGAAATGAACCCTGAAGTTGACTGGCAGCCAGTGAAGCTGGAGGAGAAGCGGGGTGATGTGGGTGTGTTTGGAGGACTTGGTCAGAAGCCAAAGTCAGAAGTTTACTTTGCTATGCTCCGATGGAGCAAACTTAAAAGTATTATTTTTACCTCAAGACGTACTGTACAATGCTGTGACAAGGCCACGGCGATATCGTGGTAATTTTACTATGACAATATTGCAATATTGCCAACAATGTTACACCCCTATTTCTTACCGTAAAAGAAAAAACTTGTGCGCATAATTTTGCGGTGCCATTCCGGCAACCCCAGCTGCCATTTTACAGTCAAAACTACGTTTTATTTGTTTTTTGTTTGTTTGTTACAGTTTAGCAAGTTCTTTATTCTGGGTGAAGGAGTCTTAGCCATAAATCCACCTATGGCTGAAATAAAAGAACAAAGTGTTACTTGAGAACTTCATATGTAGTGTGTTTAAAATTATTTCATTCACAATTGGAAGAGGTCAAAATGAGATATTTGCAGGTTTGTTCACAATCATACTGAGCTGCAATAGTGAACACATAAGGGCAAAACTACAATTAAAAAAAAAGGGACAACTAATGAATAGAATAGAATAGATTGATTGATTGATTGATTGATTGATTAATTGATTGATTGATTGGTTGATGATTGATTTATGATTGATTGATTGATTGATTGATTGATTGATTGATTGATTGATTCCCTTGTTAGGATCGCACTCACACTTATAAAATAGAAAATAGTAATACAGGTAAATGCACAAAGGTAGCATTGTAACATTCAACAGTTAAAAAAATAATAATACAAATAAAAAACTGAGTTTCCTGAAAGTAACAGCAGGACCCAGCATGAAATGTGCATCTGGGTATTGCACATACACTGAATATAGCACTGATGTTAGGGATAATGCCAGTACCAGTTAGACTGCAGAGTTATACACTCTTACTGCAGTGGGAATGTATGACCTACGGTAGTGTTCTGTTTCACATCTTGGACGTATGATGACCTTGGATATATGTTACAGAAAACACATCAAATACTTTGCCTGCATATTACAGTGCAGCATCCTTGGTCCCGACCTTCACCTGAAGTAAATTGGCTCCATATAAATAATCACTGAAGATCCACTTCATTTGCATAATGTTACCTTTCAAGTAGAAGAGAGAGTCATTGCATGCAAATTGTCCCGAGCAAAGGCCAGCAGTGTTTGTGTAAGGAATAAAGGTGTTTTTCATCATAAGGTTGAATTTACTCCCACTCTGACTGACCTCAGACAACAAAAATGGCCTTTTGTGCATATAAAACACACGTGTTGACTTTTTTGGTTCAAGTTCAATTCATTTACTAAATTTTGTTCTCCTTTTCACGTCTTCAAAACAAGCCAGCTAGACAATGATCTCAAACAGCCAAACAAAGAAATTCAAGTTGTGTACAATAGAAAGCAGGAGATAATTGACAAGACTGCAAAACTTTTCTAAGTTTCTGATAAAAAAAAAACTACGAGTTAAAGCTTATGTTCACTAAGAAATGTACTTGTTCCTTTTGAAATACAGTCAGTCTGAGGCCTAGTCCACACGTAGCCGGGTTTTTTAAAAAACGAATATCCGCCCCTCCAAAAACTTGCATCCACACCACGTCGTTTAAAAAAAAAACTCTGTCCACACGTACCCAGATAAATATGTTGTTATGGACATGCCAGACCTGTTGGCGGCAGTACTTCCCCCGTTCTTAACCTCGTCCTTTGTCTGTGGTCTTTGCAAGGAGCAGTAATTCCGCTTGCAAAAACAAACAAGCAAAAAGCGCTTGGACAATTGATAAAGCGAGCATCCATGCTGTCGGCTAGTGTAAACACAGGTCGCACACGTGATGTCAGCATTTTTTGTCACGGAAATTGACGTTGCGGACCTTAAAACTCCGGTTTTGTCTGTCCACATGCAGACACCCCAAACGGAGAAAACGCAGATCTTCACTTTGGCCGGAGTTTTTAAAAAGATCCGTTTTGGTGTGAAAAAACTCCGTTTTCGTGTGGATGACAGGCCAAAACGTAGAAAAATATCTACGTTTTGGCAGATCCCCGGCTACGTGTGGACAGGGCCTGAGTTTCACATGCATGCTGAACAGGATAAGTGTTCGTCCCCTATTATTTCCTGCATTAGCTGCAGAAAGTAAAAAGACTGGAAAGCAATCAGTTTAGAAACAGTTAGTCTGTCATCACAAGGAAAAGTAGTATTCAGGGCCTCGCCCACCTTGGCTTGCCTACATGGAAGGCTGTATAAATTTTGTAGCCAGGAGAGAGTAGAGCACATCTCGGCTATTAGACGCTAACCGTTAGCAATAACAACTCCACAAGATGGCGGACTTGTGCTATTTGTGAAGATAACACATCAACATTGCATTTTACCCAAGAAAATGGGTTTTGTACATTTCTGAGCATGGTGAGTGCAGACTAGCCAATCAAAGACAATATTTTTGCATATCATGAATATTAATGAGTATGGTTTGTAATCTTGTTTTTGGCGACTTCTCCGACAGACTTCTGCACCCTGAAACAGGAGCGCAAGAACATTTAAAAAAGGATATTTAAAAAGTAGATTACCAGAGCTAAGCTCGTGACCTATGTTTTATCAGCTTTTTCAGCAGTCAAAGTAGCTTTAGATGTAGAGAGATGAGGACAGACACACTAGAGCAGCCATCGCTCACCAAAGCACCTGAAAACAAAGATAAAACAGACTAAAAAACTAAATGAGACCATAGGAGAAAAGACGGTTGATGGATCATAATGATGAATGCCGCTCAGTGAGGTGGAAAGTGACTAAGAGAAGACAGAAACAGTTTCTGACAAGTAGACGCCTTTGAGGAACGTTGGCCAGTGCTTTGGCTCGTGGACAGTGTGTCCTAAAGCAGTCCCTATTTAAATAAGCTGGTTTGTCTCCACTTGGGAAACGTGCCCCCTGTATGCTGTTCATGTCTAAAACAAGTAAAAAGAAAAATTCACAGAGACAAGTGATTCATTTCCATGTTTAGGGAAAACAATCCGGTTGAACGCTTGTGATATAGAAACCGAGCGACAACCACATCACATTAATTTAGATGGCATTGATTAACCTTATTGATTTGTGCTCAGAACCACAAGCTTAGTGCTCCTCTTGTGTTGTCAGTCAAGCTTCTGATCTTCTCTGTCCTTTCTCAGTATTTTCTCTGTGCATGAGCATTGGGCTGCAGCGGTGAGGTTCCATGCTGTTCCCCAGAGAAAAGTAATTCATGAATGCAGATCCTATTACTGTTTAATAGAGTGTAAACAGGGTGGTTGTTGAAAACGTGCAAATGCATTAACATCTCTGCCTGTTCTGTTTGCCTTTGCCTCTCTACGTGTCCGTCTTCGTCTCTTGTTCAAAACCCTTCTGCTTCCAACTTTGCTGTTGTTTTCTGCACTTTATCATTCTCACCACTCCGTCTTCCTCCAATTGTCTGTCTCACCCTCCCTTCTACAATCTCCACACTCCAGGGTATCTACAGCTGCATCCATGGGGTACAAATCGAGGAAAACAAGTCAACTGCAGACTCACCCTCTTCTACCATTAAGAAGAACATGAACAACACCCACTCCAACATCCTGAGGTTGCTTCGCACAGCTAAAGACATGACTGCGGTTCCAGGCATCAATGGCTCTCCACACCCAGCCTTGGAGTACAGCCACAGTGGCCGTGAGACAGGCATCTACGACATCCAGGATCAGCGGCGCAGCCTGGTGGGCCACCCTGTAGATTGTAAGTCGACACCTCCCTACTTGCCAGAGGACAACATGTTCAGTGACTACATCAGCGAGGTGGAGAGGACTTTTGGCAACTTGCCCCTGAAGGACAACAACCTGTACCAGGACCATTACCGGCACCACCACCCGGCCTCGGCTCTGGGTATGTCCGGCCCCCCACCTAACAGGCCGCGTAGCTTAGGCAGCGCTAGCTCTCTGGAAGGAGGCATGTTTGATGGCGACAGTTTAGGGGGAGGGGTAGCACCCATCTTCACCACGCAGCCCCGCCCCTCCATGACTCACAGGAATACAAGTAAATTTGACCTGATTGCTGGCCACACCCCTGCGGATTCCAGTCAGGGGGGGTTCAAGGGAAGCAATGTTTACGGCAGGTTTTCTTTCAAAGGTGGTGCATCCAGCACGGGGCTCATCGGGGGGCACGACAGGTACTGTGCTGGGGGAGGGGGAGGCTCAGGGGGTGATGATGGGAACGTTCGTTCGGATGTGTCTGATATTTCCACACACACAGTCACCTATGGAAACCTGGAGGGCAACACCAAAAGACGTAAGCAGTACAGGGACAGCCTGAAAAAGAGGCCAGCCTCCGCCAAGTGCAGACGGGAGCAGGACGAGATAGAGCTGAACGCCTTCAGGAAGAGACCCCACCACCACACCGTCCACCACCACTTCCCACACGGACCTCAGGCACACCGCCCGGTCTCACCGCCCATGGAGCGGAAGAGGGGAGGAGGACTGGGTAATTCTTCACCTTACTTATTCAGCAAAGACAAAGACAACCCGAGGGATTTCTACGCGGACCAGTTCCGCTCCAAGGAGGGCAAGGCCAAGTGGGAGCAAGAGGGTGGAAGTGGAGGAAGCGGTGTGGGCGGTGGTAGTGGTGATGGTATCTGTAAAAGCTTAGTACCAGTGGAAGACTTCCTTAAAGGTAAAGGGATGAAATCAGAGTGTAAGGGTGGGCTTGTTGCAATGTCGGCAGGGCAGCAGGCCCACTCCTGTTGGGAAAAGGGGAGTTCAGGTCTAGGAGGGGGAGGTATAGCAGGGGGCGACTGGGAGTGTCGTAACTGCCACAGTGTGTGTCATCACAGTGGAGGTGTAGGAGGAGGCAGCACATGCCCAGCTAGCGGAGTTGGGGGGAGCAGCAGTCGCCCCAGCTCTGCTACATGCAAACGCTGTGACTCGTGTAAGATACAGCCCACTAACCTGTATAACATCAGCGAAGACAACAACATGATGTTCAGTGGAGGGAAGGGCAGCGTAGGGCTCAGCCAATCACAGAGTCAGACACAGCGCAGGAAGCTAGGGCCAGGTGGGAAGGTGTTACGGAGGCAGCACTCTTATGACACGTTTGTTGACCTGCAGAGAGAGGGAGCGAGTCGCATGGGACGGGCTGGTGGAGGCACTGGGGGGCAGTTTCCCCAGCCCCGCAGTGTGAGCTTGAAAGACAAAGACCGCTACATGGAAGGTCCCAGCCCCTATGCTCACATGTTTGAGAGGTATTCAGGTGACAGAGAGTCTTCCATGTTTGGAGGGATAGGTGGGGATAGGGTAGCAGCAGGGTCCTCCTTCAGCTTGTTCCGTGGAGGTGAGGGGGGGATTCATCGACGCTCAGTGGGAGAAAGAGACCTGAGGGACAGGGATAGATCTATGATGGGAGGAGGGGGCTGTGGTGGTGGTGGTGGTAGCAGAGGGGCTGGGACTTACTCCTTGTCTAAATCTCTCTACCCAGATAAGGTGAACCAGAACCCCTTCATCCCAACCTTCGACGATGACCAGTGTCTATTACACGGTGCCAAACCGTACTACATCAAAAATCCACAGACGCAGCAGCAGCAGCAACTTCTCAACAACAGCCGAGGAGGAGGGGACTTCCGCGGCTCCATGGGGGCGACTTCCTATTTGCCCGCATCTGCCACAGCAGGAGTGATGTCCAATGTGGGCACGAGATACCCGAAAGAGCTGTGTTTGGGTGGTGTGGGAGGGCCCATGGGGAACCACCATGGGGCCAACAAACTGCTGCCTGTAGGCAGGGACACGTTAGGTCTGGGTCAGGGACAGAGACCCTTCAACGGTGCCAGCAATGGACACGTTTATGAAAAGCTTTCCAGCATTGAATCAGATGTCTGAGACCCAAGGCAAAAGAAAGACCATGCGGAGAAAAGATGAGGTGGGGGGGTGAAGGGAAGAAGAGAAAGAGCTTAACTTTTCTGTGTGATACAAATGTGGAGACACGACGGTGTGTGTGTGTGTGTGTGTTGTCTTCTGTCCGCTTAAAGAAAGGATTTTGAGCAAAGCACAGGGGGCCCCTGCCACAGAGAGCGTGGTTACGTTTGAAGTGAGACGAGTTTTTAATAAGATGAGAGGATTCCGGTGCTGCTCCAACGCTTTAGAAATCTAAAGGAAGGGAGGGTTGGGAGGAGTGGGAAAAGGTGAAATCAATTCTCCAGACTCGGCTCTCTTCACATGCTCGCTGTCGTTCCCTCCTTCCTGCAGCTCCTCAACACCAAAACAAACTACAGATACAATCATGAATGAGAAATCTACACTTCTGCCGAAGTAACAGGGTACACTAACAATTACTGTATTGATGATGTTAATGATATTATTGAATATTATTCCAGTGTTTATTGATGATGATCAGTTTTGATTGTTTTTAAACTTCATTTCTTTTAATAGTTCATGTTGCAGATTTATGTGACGTTATTCTTTCTTAACTCACGATTACAGCAGACTGTTGGACCTGTTTACGGATCTGTGTTGGGTATTTTGGACTCTTCTTTGCTATGAATTCTTCATGTTTGCTTTTATTTTTTCTACTTTTCTTACTTTGATTGCTGTGAAGTGTATGTAAGAGGCATGCCTTGCTGAGTGCACTATATGTATTTATAAATTCGTGAATTACTTCAGTTTTTTTAAGCAACAGAAGCGACATCATCATACTGATTTGTGGTTTTTGAGTTTTATTTGTTACTTTCTGCTTGGCAGGGCCAAAAGGGTTTCTCATTTTGATCTGGATGTGCCTTAAAGGGACTAACACTGAGACGTTTTCCTGCTTTTGTTGGTAGACAGATCCACCTGCAACGGCACCTGCGAGTAAGTCAAACATCAGGTAAAGGTTTGTGGTATTTATCTGGTACAATGACTCAAACCTAACCAAAGAAATTGCGACAAAATTGGCTGTTTAGATGTTCTACATTGATCTTGATGACAGAGACAGCAAGGGTTACAGTATAGAAGCTTTTTTATACTCCGCAGATGATTCGTTTCATTCATCATTTTTACCATCCCTCAGCTCATCACAAGAGATAGCTCACATGAAAATTTAAGCTAAATTGATTTAATGGTCTCATATTGCTTTGTTGGATCTGTTTCAATTGACTTTGACAGTTTTGCCATTCAGTACATGGACATAATGGACTCATGAAGAGGAAGGCCACTGTTCCTGAGATTAGTAGCTCCTTTTTCCCCCTTGTGGCTGCAGTTACAAGCCCTGCCCGTCATGTTTTATGGCTCACGTTTGAAGAATGGGAGGAGCAAGAGGATTTAGTGTTATGTAATGCAGGTGGAAAGGGCCACCTGTGGCTTTTAAACATATTTTCTGTTGCATAAAACAAGTTGAAACTTAGGTTTACAGCACACTGATGTGACAAAAGTCTCCAGTTGAAAGGAGTAGCAGACATTTGGTTGACAAGATTGACAACGCCATCTTGTGAAGCGATAACAGTTAGCCTTTAGCATCACGACTTGAAACGGTGCAGAAGCAGTCCATCTGGTTGTCCTTAAAGACAGCAAATTGTCCCTACCAGCACTTCTGAAGCACCATAGCGTGCACGTTTCAACCAAACTCCTAGTTAAAAAGCACAATTCTTTTTTACAAATAAAATATATATATATATATAGAAACCTAGAACATTCCTGAAGAGATCCTGAGTATGCCAGCACTCCCAATGTTGGTTGTTGTGCTCTGATAAAAGATAGGAAGAAAAAAAAACAAGCTGGCATATTAATGGCACAAAGAGTGCAGTCCTGACCGGCACTGAAGTAGAAAAAAGGGACTTTATTCTGCCAATCACCCTTTGAGTTTATGGTTGCTATGGTGATTCCTACTTCTGAGTGTTTAAGGGCAAACAAACGCTGAGAGTATGGGTCTGGAGCATCGAAAACACTGTGACTACTTAAGAGAAAATGTTATAAGGCTGCAGAAGAGGGAGAATGGCTTAAAACCAAACAACTGACAGAAACAACTCTAGCTGGATGACGTACGGTAGGATGTACCGTAATTTCCGGACTAAAGAGCGTACCTCAGGATAAGCCACACCAACAAAAAAAAAAGGTTTTCTACACACACACGCCGCACTCAAATACAAGCTGCGGCGCAGCAGCCACATGCAGGTCTCCGGCGCACAGCGCATGTACGGCCATAACATAAGATAATTAGACAGAAAGACGCTACATGGAGGTTTTTTGTTGTTTTAATTCAACAAAAGAATTTTAAACACGGGTGAACGTGCCTGCAAGTTTAGAAAAGAGCACTGATAGCATTCATATTTCTGGATGGTTATAAAATAAAAACAGCACTGACACGTTATTACTGGTAATTTGCATGTTTAGAAGGAAAGAACAGCGCTGACACAGCATTAATAAGCCCTGGATGATTAGAAAATAAAACCTGCACACAAAACATGCCTGGTTAGTAAATAAAACACACTTGCCTACCTGAAAAAGTCATTCGTTCTCATCTTCCTCTTGCGCACTAAAGCCATTAAAGTCCTCTTCTTCAGTGTCGGAGTTGAACAGCCTCAGAAGAGCTTCGTCACATGCCTTTTCTGCGGCGATGTCAGTGTCGCTGTCCGTGTTGCTGTCATCATCCCCGGGTGAAGCTGGCTTGAATGAGTTCTTCCCGCTGCCGTCTCCAGCGCCGAACCATGGATTCATTCATGCCAAGCTTACACTGTTTCCCTCCTTTACTGCCAGATCGATGGCCTTCAACTTAAATGTGGCATCATATGAACTCATACGTGTAGTTACCATGATGAGGGGGTATGGATTTGAAAAAAACTCTTCGTCGTGCCAGCTGCTTGCATGTGCTAAATTAAAATGAGCACTTTCTTCAATTTCCACTTTTGACTTCCACCTGTTTCACTTTCTGCTATAGCGCCCCCTGGTGGCAGGTGAAGGGAAATCTTCAGTAAAGCCACACCTCATTATAAGCCGCATGGTTCAAAGCGTGGGAAAAAAGTAGCGGCTTATAGTCCGGAAAATACGGTAGATTCTCCAGTTGTTTAATGTTTGAGAGGCATGTGCGAGAAACTCATTTTTTTAAATGAACAATATTCTAAAGAACTATTTTTGTTATGGTTACCAGTAATCAGCTAATCACAGTAAATGTGATTTAGAGCATTTACTGTTTACTTGATTCGATGTAGTCAGATCAGTGTGAGCTGGGCCGTTACTCTGAGTTAGGAGATGAAAAGACCCTCAGTTCTATGATCTACAATCATAAGCTGTGGCTTCAACCACGTTTCCTCCAATAATTGGAATTTTATTTATAAGTTTCTCATCCTGATGGACAATTTAGCAAATATAATGTCAATCTTTTTTGTTTTCATGTGATTTCTTTAACGACTACCAAAATAGTCAGAGATCCATTTATACGCCAAACTTTAAACGTGTCCCCCTCACCCACATGTGCCTCTTATGCATCACAGCTCATCTCACCTCTCACCCAGAAAACTATTTCCTCTCACCTGTAAATTTGATTTATGGGATGGGGAGAAGAGAAATTAAACTGTTAGTTGGAAACAGGGGCGGATCTAGGATTTTAGGAGTATGGGACCATCAAGGGGGCACAACATAAGTCCAACATCCTTACACAAGATTTCACTCTAGAAACTCCTCTTTGTCTCATTAGCGCCAGTAGTGTTTACACTTGGACTGGCATCCACCCATAATCTGAACATCGCTCAAAGGATGGATGAGTGACAGGACATGGGGCACTTCAGGAAGCCAATCAGATGTCAGCAGGGGCCAGTGCCCCTATGGCTCTGCCCTTAGAACTGCCAATGGTTTGGAAGCATTCAAAAACAAACAAATTAAATGAAAACGGCAGCATAATTAATAATCCAGGAGTGGGTTGGACACAAAATGCTGCTGTAGTTATAAAAGTTATTTTTCTGCACAGGCAGAGCAACAGGTGAGTTCACCTGGTGTTCTTTAGTCAGTACGTCTGCACCGCAGCCTTCTGTTTTTAAAATGTGCTAACAGACAGAAATACGGGGCACTTAAAAGTGTGCTGATGTTTTTAGATCTCAGAGGATACAGTGACTGCATGAATATAGTGTTGAATAAGTTATCACTCCAGTAGCTAAAGGTATATTTACAACATCACGGAACATATTGTGATAAAGATTACCGATGTGAATACCGTAAATCCTCTAATATTGGCCTGTATTTAATTAACTGCCGGGTATCATATTTTGGTTGGAGTCGGCGGAGGTGAATAATGGCCGTTTTTTTATTGTGGCCGGGTGGAATGTGGTAACAAGCAAGTACGCGGGGCGGTTGTGTCATCCGTCTCACTTTGGATTTGCCAGTGATAGACCGCGAGGGTAACTTTAACCGTGCGGAGACGAAGAGGAGGCGAAAATTTCATATCAAGTTCAAAGAGAACGTGCTGATTATGCTGCAGAACACTTTGGGGAGCAGTAGCAGGGGTTGTATGAACTAGTCACTAGTCGACTTCACTATAGTGACTTTTTATGCCTGTCATCGACTAGTCGCTGTCACGTGATAATGACCGACAAGATGCAGTCCTCGGAAAAGACAGCAGCCTGCTGTCAGCAGGTGACAAGCTCCTGCGCGTCAGGAGGCAACGCGCTGTGCCAGAGCGTCGGTACTGACACCTGCCGTAAAACGGACATTTAACCAAATTGTGATGTTTACCCTCTTGGTATTTAACATTCCCCTCACCCCATCCTAACCTTAACCAGCTTGCACATGCAAAGCTCTGATTGTTGACGCGCTCCAGACATCTGTGTCCTGAGCACGGCCACAGTAACATTATCAAATCAGGTGTCGCCACCTCAAAAACTAATTTAACACGCGATCGTTCATGTCGGCTCATTTCCTTTTATGTTTTTTGTTTTTTTATTATTTTATTTGTGCCTGATGCGTTTCGCTGCTGTGGAGCGGGGCGCATCACCTGTTTTGTCGTCGGTGAAGCACCACTGATACGGCCGGCGAGCACTCCACTGTTTTTGCGGTCGGTAGATCTTTTAGAACAGCAGTTAAAAGGTAACTCATAAGGTGAATATATATGAATCCAGGTAGCAGTTTTTCTTTAGGATTGAGAGGAGATGCAGGAAGATAATAAAGAAAAATAGTCAAATAAAAACAAGTTAGTTTTTGTACCTGCTGGTTGCAACAAACAGACACCATTGAAGGTAATCAGAAGTTAGGAACAGAAAATGAAATAATTATTTTAATGTTTAGAGCTGCAGGAACTCCGAGAGGGCTGAAGCAGAAACTACCGTTGTTAAAAGAAATGTGTTTAACTTTGAAAATGTGGGCACAATTTTAATTGTCAAAAACTCCAGCGAACCATTAGTTCATTTTGCTCAAATAGAAATTGAGGCCTGCCTCTAATTCTGGCCCTCCTTCCAATAAAGGCCTGGATCTTGATGAGCTTGAGTCAAATACAGGCCCGGGCCTGTATTAGAGGATTTACGGTAACTGCAGGTCATATTGCCCAGTCCTAACATACATGTTCTGTATCCACTTCTTACCAAAAAGGTTCAAACATGAATGTTGTTGTAGAATAGTCCTTGTATCTCGGATAAGCTCACCGAAATTTTAAACATGTATTCTCTAATGATCGAGGGACAAACGTTTACTGACAATTGATTTTTTAAGATAAATACACTTTTTGGGTCTTTCTGGCTGCCTTAGAGCTTTACTCTCCGAGGGGTAACTCCTCTGATGTTTCCACTTCCCATTTTTGTAGCAAAGGCCAAAGAACAACACGACAAATCCCGCTTCTGCCACCATTGGTCAAGATAACGTGTATAAGGGAGGCTCCGCCTTTTGATTTTGTGTAGCCTAGCGGTCTCTTAGCCCTGTGATTGGTGGATGGTCTACCTTTTACCAAAACATCAAATCCAGCCTGCTCAGGACACATCTCATGTTAAATGTGTACAACTGGAAGAGAAAATAAGTACAAGAATGTATTTAGACCTTTGAAAGCCTTGAAACCAGTTTACAGTTTGAGTTAAAAGTACATTTATTACAAGAAGCCATAAAAGACTATTAACAGTTTTCTACTGCTCACACTTTTATGGGTTCCTTAAGTTTGTGTAAGAAAGAAAAGGCTTTTGCAGCCTGAAACTTTCTAACAAATATGCAACAAATCATAAGGAAAAGTCATTCCAACTTACTCCAAGTCTAAATCTTTGCATTGATGATGGCTCACTGCAACCCTAACAATGGTGCTGGTGCACAGCATTTGTTACCTTTAACCACAGCCTGCATAGCTGCTTCTTTGCTGTTCGGATGCTAGGCTAGCTACCATTTTATTTAGCATGCATCTAAAGATGAGGTGTTTATTTTCTCAACTAACTTCCAGCAAGTAGGCATCTTTAAAATGTAAGTTAGTGTTTCCCAGAAGACAAGCGCAAATGATAAATCTGTACCTTTATGCACAGATTTATTCCAAGTCAAACATCGTTTCTATTAAAAGAATAAAGTAATCTGATTACATACAGGTGCTGGCCAGTAAATTAGAATATCATCAAAAGGTTGAAAATATTTCAGTAATTCCATTCAAAACGTGAAACTTGTACATTATATTCATGCAATGCACACAGACCAATGTATTTCCAATGTTTATTACGTTTAATTTTGATATTTATAGGTGACAACCAATGAAAACATCAAATCTGGTATCTCAGAAAATTAGAATATTCTAAAGGCCAATGAAAAAATGTTTGTTTCTCTAATGTTGGCCAACTGAAAAGAATGAACATGAAAAGAATGTGCATGTATAGCACTCAATACTTAGTCGGGGCTCCTTTTGCCTCAATAACTGCAGTAATGCGGCGTGGCATGGACTCGATCAGTCTGTGGCACTGCTCAGGTGTTATGAGAGCCCAGGTTGCTCTGATAGTCGTCTTCAGCTCCTCTGCATTGTTGGGTCTAGCGTATTGCATCCTCCGCTTCACAATACCCCATAGATTTTCTATGGGGTTAAGGTCAGGCGAGTTTGCTGGCCAATCAAGGACAGGGATACCATGGTCCTTGAACCAGGTGCTGGTGGTTTTGGCACTGTGTGCAGGTGCCAAGTCCTGTTGAAAGGTGAAGTCTGCATCCCCATAAAGTTGGTCAGCAGCAGGAAGCATGAAGTGCTCTAAAACTTCCTGGTAGACGGCTGCATTGACCCTGGACCTCAGGAAACAGAGTGGGCCAACACCGGCAGATGACATGGCACCCCACACCATCACTGACGGTGGAAACTTTACACTGGACCTCATGCAACGTGGATTCTGTGCTTCTCCGCTCTTCCTCCAGACTCTGGGTCCTTGATTTCCAAAGGAAATGCAGAACTTGCTTTCATC